CCCATCCTAAATCCCAAATTCCCATTCCAAATCGCAAATCCCCATCCCAAACCCTGAATTCCCATCCTCAGCCCCAAATCCCCATCCCAAATCCCAAAATTCCCATCCTAAATTTCCATCCTAAATCCCAGATTCCCATCCCAAATCCCAATTTCCCATCCCCAACCCCAAATCCCAGGATTTGGTCAAAAAACCCCGGAATTCCGGCGTCAGTTTCCCCGGATTTGGGTGCAGATTCCCGGGAATTGCCGGGAACTGGGGGCCGTCCGTCCGTCCGTCCGTCCGTCCGTCCGCACCTTCTTGGCCTTGGGGAAGAAGGGCAGCCACTTGTCCTTGTCCGGCAGCTTCTCGGGGTTGCGGCATTCCCGCGCTTCCCGCGGTTCCCGAAATTCCCGAAATTCCCGGGGCCGGATCCCGGCGTGGGCCATGAACGTGCTGAGGGCGAAGGCCATGGGAGAGCTGCGGGAGAGAATTCCAGAGGCTGGGACGGGCCGGGATTCCCGGGATCCCCTGGGGAAACTGGGAATGGCGGGGAAAACTGGGAAAATCCCCTGGGAAAATGGGGAATTCCAGGGGAAAGGATCCACTGGGAAAACTGGGAATTACGGGGGAAATCAGGAATTCCGGGGAAAGGATCCACTGGGAAAACTGGGAATTCCAGGGAAAAGGATCCACTGGGAAAATTGGGAATTCCAGGGAAAGGAAAATCCCCAAGGAAAATTGGGAATTCCAGGGAAAGGGAAAATCCCCAGGGAAAATTGGGAATTCCGGGGAAAGGAATCCCAGGGAAAACTGGGAATGGCAGGGAAAAGAGGGACGGGAAAAAGGGGGAAAGAGATTCCACAGGGAAAATCGGGAATGTCCCAAATTCCCGGGGTTTTCCCCGCTGGATCCGCTCACCTCCGCTCCTCCTCGTACTTGGAGCTGCGGGAAAAAGGAATTGCTTGGAATCTTCCACTCCCAATCCCAAATTCCCAAATTCCAAATCCCAAAATCCCAAATCCCCGTTGCCAGTCCCAAAATTTCCATTCCCAACCCCAAATTCCCACTCCCAGTCCCTTTCCCAATCCCGAAATTCCCACTGGGGCCCTGAATCCCATCAGGAATTCCCGAATTACCACAGGATGTCCCCGAGGTGCCCATCCCAACAATCCTACGGCAATTCCAGTGATCCCATAGGAATCCCCCACACTGACGGGATGTCCCTGAGTGCCCCGGCTGCCGCTCCCTGTCCCAGTGATCCCATTGCGATTCCCAGTGATCCCAATGATCCCATAGATCATTCCCAGTGATCCCATTGCGATTCCCAGTGATCCCAATGATCCCATAGATCAATGCCAATGATCCCAATGATCAATCCCAATGATCAATCCCAAATCCCCACACACTCACAGGATGTCCCTGAGTGCCCCGGCTGCCGCTCCCTGTCCCAGTGATCCCATTGCGATTCCCAGTGATCCAATGATCCCATAGATCATTCCCAATGATCCCATTGCGATTCCCAGTGATCCCAATGATCCCAATGATCCCATAGATCATTCCCAATGATCCCATAGCAGTTCCCAATGATCCAATGATCCCATAGATCAATCCCAATGATCCCAGTGATCCCAATGATCATTCCCAGTGATCCCAGCACTCACAGGATCTCCCCCAGGTGCCCCAGCTGCCGCTCCCTGTCCCAATGATCCCAATGATCCCATAGATCATTCCCAATGATCCCATAGCAGTTCCCAATGATCAATCCAATGATTCCACAAGGAATTCCCAGCACTCACAGGATGTCCCCCAGGTGCCCCAGCTGCCGCTCCCTGTCCCAATGATCCCAATGATCAATCCCAATGATCAATCCAATGATTCCATAAGGAATTCCCAGCACTCACAGGATGTCCCCCAGGTGCCCCAGCTGCCGCTCCGCCAGCTGTCTCTCCCTGTCCCAATGATCCCATAGGGAATCCCCAGTGATCCCAATGATCCCATAGATCATTCCCAATGATCCCAATGATCAATCCCAATGATCAATCCCAATGATTCCATAAGGAATTCCCAGCACTCACAGGATGTCCCCCAGGTGCCCCAGCTGCCGCTCCCTGTCCCAATGATCCCAATGATCCCAATGACCATTCCCAGTGATCCCAGCACTCACAGGATGTCCCCCAGGTGCCCCAGCTGCCGCTCCGCCAGCTGTCTCTCCCTGTCCCGGCGCTCCCGCGGCTCCCGGGGGCCGTTCCCCAGCTCCAGCTCCTGCAGCTCGTTCTCCCCGTAGAGGCTGCCCAGCCCCAGCGTGCGCTTCGTCCTGCGTGGGGCAAAGTACGGCACTGGCAACGGCTGGCGTTCCCAAAATCCCTAAATCCGGGATGCCCTGCTTGGCTCTCCGGGAAAAGCCGAAAAAACCGGGACTGGGACACCCAGAAAGTCCCGAAATTTGGGAATTTCCGCTTGGCTCGCTGGGAAAAGCTAAAAAAAAAATGGGATCGGGGGCCTGGAATTCCCAAAATCCCAGAACTCGGGATGTCCCGCTTGGTTCTCTGGGAAAAGCTAAAAAAAAATGGGACTAGGAACTCCTGAATTCCCAATTCCCAAAACCCGCGATTTCCTGCTTGGTTCTCAGGGAAAAGCTGAAAAACTGGGATTGGGACACCCAGAAAGTCCCAAAATTTGGGATTTTCCACTTGGTTCTCTGGGAAAAGCTAAAAAAAATGGGTTTGGGAATGGCTGGGATTCCCAAAATCCCAAAATCCAGGATTTCCTGCTTGGCTATCCGGGAAAACCTAAAAAAAATGGGATTGGGGGAGCTGAAATTCCCAACTTTCCCAAAATCTGGGATGTCCCGTTTGGCTCTCTGGGAAAAGCCAGAAAACGGGGATTGGGAACTCCCGGAATTCCCAACATTCCCAAACTCTGGGATTTCCTACTCGGTTCTATGGGAAAAGCCAAAGCACCGGGATTGGGATTGCCCAGAAGGTCCCGAAATTCCCAAAATTTGAGATTTCCCGCTTGGCTCTCTAGGAAAAGCTAAAAAAATGAGATGGGGAGGGCCTGGAATCCCCTAAATTCCAGAAATTCCCAATTTTTCCTTGGGTGTGTGGGAAAAGCCGAAAACAAGAGGATGGGGAGCTCCCGAAATTCCCCAAATTTGGGATTTTCCTCAGGTTCTGCTGTGAAAAAGCAAAACAAAAACCGGGACTGGGAGGCGCGAAACCTCCCCAAAATCCGGGGTTTTCCTGAGGTTCTGCCCCAAAAAGGTTTGGGGAGCTCCCGGGGTTCCCGGAATTGGGATTTTCAGGGGTTTTTTCCCGGTTTTTCCTGGGATCTTTCCAGGTTCCCACCTGTAGTCCTGGAGCTGCTCCTGGATCTCCGGGATCACCGACTCCTGCGCCTCCAGCAGCGCCGGCCGCAGCTCGTCCCCGTTCCGCAGCCGCAGCTCTGGGAACGCCGCGAAATCCCGCCATTTCGGGAAAATCCGGGATTTGGGGAAAATCCGGGATTTGGGGAAAATTCCGGGATTTTGGGGACGCTCCGGGCGCTCCTCCCGTCCCAGAGCTGACTCCCAGCGCTCCCGAGGCTCCCGGGAGAGTTTGGGAATTCCCAACCCCGGCCCGGGGCTGCTTTTCCCGGGGGAAATTCCCGAAATTCCCAACTCACCGATCTCGGCCAGGAGCGGCTCCGGCAGCTTCACCCGCAGGGGCTGCGAAAGAGGGAAAGGCATCCCAAAATCTGGGAAATCCTCACTAAATCCTGGGGAAGTCCATCCCAAAATATGGGAAAGGCATCCCAAAAATCTGGGAAAGGGATCCCAAAATCCTGGGAAAAGCAACCCAAAAATCTGGGAAAATATATCCCAAAATGTGGGAAATCCATTCCAAAATCCTGGGAAAAGTATCACAAAATCCTGGGAAAATCCATCCCAAAATCTGGGAAATCCTCCCAAAATCCCAGGAAATCCATCACAAAATCATGGGAAATCCATCCCAAAATCTGGGAAAAGCATCCCAAAATCCCAGGAAATCCATCCCTAATTCCTGAAATCCTCTCCGAAAAATCCCAAGAAATCGTCCCCAAATCCCTGAGAATCCCATCTTCCCCAGATTCCTCAAAACTCCCCAAAATCCCAGGAAAATCCTCCTCAAATCCCGGAAAATCCTCCCGTAATTCCTTAAAACTCTCCCCAAAATCCCGGAAAATCCTCACGAAATTCCTGGGAAATCCTCCTCAAATCCCGGAAAATCCTCCCCAAATTTCCAGAACATCACCCCAAAAACTCTGCAAAACCCTGGAAAATCCTCTCTGAATCCCTCTGAATGCCCCAGAATGCCTCAGAATGCCCCCAATCCCGGAATTCCCTTGGGAATTCCGTGGTCTCACCGCGGCCCTGTCCAGGAAGACGTTCCAGATGTCCCTGCCCAGGGCGCGCCCGTCCCGGGGGCTCTGCTGGCAGCAAACCTCCGAGCACAGGTGGAACAGCTGGGCGGGGGAAAACGGGAAAAAACGGCAATTCCGGGGAATTCCAGGGAATTCCGGGGGCGGGAATGCCGGGGGCGGGAAATGCCGGAATTCTGAGGGAAATCCCCAAATTTCTGCTCCATCCGGAGCCCCGGGAACGCTCTGGGAGGTGCCAGGGGTTGGGAATGGGATCCCAAAGTTAGAAAATCCCAGGAATTCTGAAGAAATCCCAGAATTTCTGCTCCCAGGAATATTCCCGGAATCTCTGGGAGGTGCCAGGGGTTGGCAATGCGATCCCAAGAGCAGGAAATCCCGGGAATTTTGAGGAAATCCTGGAATTTCTGCACCCTCCTGATCCCAGGAATATTCCTGGAATCGCTGGGAGTTGCCAGAAGTTGGGAATGGGATCCAAGGGTCAGGAAATCACAGGGATTTTGAGGAAATCCTGGAATTTCTGCTCCATCCAGAGCCCTGGGAATGCTCTGGGAGGTGCCAGAAGTTGGGAATGAGATCCCAAGGACGAGGAAATCCGAGGAATTTTGAGGAAATCCCACAATTTCTGCTCAGGTTTTATTCCCAGGAATATTCCTGGAATCTCTGGGATCTCAAGAGCAGAAAAACCCAGGAATTATGAGGAAATCCCAGAATTTCTGCACCCTCCTGATCCCAGCAATATTCCTGGAATCTCTGCGAAGGGATTGGGATTGGGAATGGGATCCCAAAGTTAGAAAATCCCAGGAATTCTGAAGAAATCCCCAAATTTCTGCTGCCAGGAATATTCCCGGAATCGCTGGGAGGTGCCAGGGGGTGGCAATGAGATCCCAAGGAGGAGGAAATCCTGGGAATTTTAAGGAAATCCCAGAATTTCTGCTCCCAGGAATATTCCCAGAATCTCTGGGAAGGGCCACGGGTTGGGAATGGGATCCCCGGGCCAGGAAATCCTGGGAATTTTAAGGAAATCCCAGAATTTCTGCACCCTCCTGATCCCAGGAATATTCCTGGAATCTCTGGGAGGTGCCAGGGGTTGGCAATGGGATCCCAGAAGCAGAAAATCCCAGGAATTTTGAGGAAATCCTGGGAATTCTGCTCCATGCAGAGCCCTGGGAATGCTGTGGGAGGTGCCAGAGGTTGGGAATGGGATCCCCGGGCCAGGGGATCCCGGGGATTTTGGGAATTTTAGGAATTCCTTACCAGAGGAGTGGGATCGGCCTGGGAGAAGAGGAACCGCAGGAAAACGCCCAGGTGGGCCGGGCGGGATTTGAGAATTCCCAAATCCTGGAACACGGAATCGCTCTGGGAACACAGAGAGGGAGAGGTGGGAGCTGCCAGGATCCCAAAAATCACAAAAATCCCACCTGGAATCCCCAAAATCCCAAAAATCCCCTTGAAACTCCCCCTGGAATCCCCAAAATCCTGAAAATCCCCTCCAAAATCCCACCTGGAACCCCAAAAATCCCCTCGAAAATCCCCCAGGAATCCCCCAAACCCCCCAAAATCCCCCAGAATCCCCCAGCCCCAATCCCCCTTCCCCCCCACCTCGCTGCTGCCGCTCCCGGGCTCGCAATCCTCCTCGGGCCCGATGATCTGGGGCCTCCCCGAGCCCTGTCCCGGACACAAACGGGATCAGCTCCCCGAACGGCCCCGGGGGATTCCCGGATTTTCCAGGATTTTTTTGGATATTTTTTGGGGATTTTTTGGGGCTTTTTGGGATTTTTGGGGATTTTTTGGGATTTTTTTGGGGATTTTTGGGGGTTTTTGGGATATTTTTGGGGATATTTTTTTTGGGGGGATATTTTTGGGGATTTTTTGGGGATTTTTGGGGATATTTTTGGGGATTTTTTTTTATTTTTTGGGGGTTTTTTGGGTTATTTTTTGGGGTATTTTTGGGGATTTTTTGGGGCTTTTTTGGGATTTTTTGGGATATTTTTTGGGGATTTTTTGGGGATTTTTTGGGATTTTTTGGGGATTTTTTGGGATATTTTTGGGGATTTTTTGGGATATTTTTGGGATATTTTTGGGGGATTTTTTGGGATATTTTTGGGATATTTTTTGGGGATTTTTTGGGATATTTTTGGGGATTTTTGGGTTTTTTGGGATATTTTTTGGGATTTTTTGGGATATTTTTGGGGGGATTTTTTTGGGTTTTTTGGGTATTTTTTTGGGTTTCTTGGGGTTTTCCAGGCGCACCGGGTCCGAGGGGAGGCGGGAGCCGAGCACGGGGGAGCTCCGGGGGCTGCCGGGCTGGGAGAAGCCGGAATTCCGGGACACCTGGGAACGGGAATTTCGGGATCAGCACCCCAAAAACCACCCAGGGGGATCCCAAATTATGGGGGCAGGGTTTCCAACCTCTCCTGGAATTTTCCTCCCTTTTCCCCAACTTTTCATGGAGTTTTTCCCAGAATTTCCATCCCCTTTTCCCACATTTCTCCTGGAATTATTCCCCCCTTTTTCCTCACTTTTCCCTTAACTTTCCCTTAACTTCCCCCACCACCTTCTCCCAGATTTTCCCGAAATTTCCCCTCTTGCTTTTCCCAAACCTTCCCTGGAATTTCCCCTCTCTCTTTTCCCAAATTTTTTCCCTGCAGTTTTCCCCCACTTTTCCGGGATTTTCCCAAACCCTTCCCCGCCCTTTCTCCTGGATTTTCCCTGGAATTTTCCCGGGTTTTTCCTAGGTGTTTCCGGAATTTTCCCCATATTTTTCCCAGGTTTTTCCTGGGTTTTTCCCAGAATTCCCCTGTATTCTTTCCTGGATTTTCCCCAGAATTTTCCCTAGATTTTTCCCAGATTTTCCCCGTATTTTTTCCCCGGATTTTCCCCAGAATTTCCCTGTATTCTTTCCCAGATTTTTTTCCAGGTTTTCCCCAGATTTTCCCAAATTTTTCCTGGATTTTCCCCTGATTTTCTCCGCCATTTTCCCAGATTTTTTTTCGGATTTTTCTCAGAATTTTCCCTGGATTTCCCCAGAATTTTCCCAGATTTTTTCCCTGGAATTTTTCCCATATTTTTCCCAGGTTTTTTCACAGATTTTTCCCGGGATTTTCCCCGCCCTTTTCCCAGATGTTTTCCGGATTTTTCCCGCGTTTTCCCGGTTTTTCCCTGGGTTTTTCCCTGGGTTTTTCCCGTATTTTTTCCCGTATTTTTTCCCATGTTTTGCCCGTGTTTTTCCCAGAACTTTGCCCCGATTTTTCCCGTGCTTCCCCGGGATCCCCTCACCTCTGTCGGGGCCGGGCCCCGCTCCTCGGGCCCCGCGATCCCGTCCTGGGGGTCCCCGGGGAGGCGCCCCGGGAGCTGCGGGGACCCCTCCAGGGGCCGGGAGGGGCCCAAATCCTGGGAAAAGGAAAAGGGGTCAGGGAAAAGCTCCCACCCAGCCCCCCCCCGCCCCAGCTCTGGTGTTCGGAAAAGCGGAATTGCCGGGAAACGCCGGGAAGGGCTCAGGGGCGAGCCCGGGATCGTTCCTGGGATGATCCCCAGAATTGTTCCCAGGATGGTTCCCAGGATTATTCCTGGAATTCCCAGATTTATTCTCGGATCTATTCCCAGACTGATTCCCGGATTTTTTCCCTGGATTTATTCCCGTATAAAAATCCCCAGGATTATTCCCGTATTTATTCCCAGAATTCCTGGATTTATTCCTGGATCATTCCCAGATTGACTCCTGGATCATTCCTGTATTTATTCCCAAGATAATTCCCATATTCATTCCCAGAATTCCCAGATTCATTCCTGGATTGATTCCAGATCACTCCTGGATATCCTTCCCGGATCATTTCCACATTCACTCCCACACTGATTCCCGGATCATCCCCAGAATCATTCCCAGAATCATTCCCAGATGCATTCCTGGATCATTCCCAGAATTCCCTATTCATTCCCAGATCTATTCCCGTACATCCTCGCACATTCCCAGGATAATTCCCAGATATTTTCCCATACATTCCCACATTCATTCCTGGATCATTCCTGGATCATTCCCAGAATTCCCATATTCATTCCCAGATCCATTCCCAGATCCATTCCCGGATCATTCCCCAAATTCCCATATTCATTCCTGTATTTATTCCCTGGATCATTCCCAGATTGTTCCCGGATTTTTTCCCGGACCATTCCCAGAATCATTCCCACGTGTCTTCCAGGATTGTTCCTGGACCATTCCTAGGATTATTCCCGGATTTTTTCCCAGGCCATTCCCACATTCCTTCCTGGACCATTCCTGCACATTCCAGATCCACTCCCGGATCATTCCCACAGTCATTCCCAGAACTCCCACACTGCTCCCCAGATGATCCCGGACCTTTCCCTGTATCATTCCCATGCATTCCTGGATGTTTCCACATTCCTTCCCCGGGTCATTCCCAGCTCCATCCCCGGATCATTCCCGGGTCATTCCCAGCTCCCTTCCTGTGTCATTCCCGGACCATTCCTGGATCCATTCCTGGATCCATTCCCAGCTCCATCCCCGGATCATTCCCGGGTCATTCCCAGCTCCCTTCCTGTGTCATTCCCGGACCATTCCTGGATCCGTTCCTGGATCCATTCCAGCTCCATTCCCGGGTCATTCCCGGTTATTTTCCTGTCTCATTCCCGGGTATTTCCCATCCCGTTCCGTACCGGGGACGTGCCCCTGGTCTCCTGCAGCACCTTGAGCTGCAGCTGGCTCAGCCGGCGCCGCGCCCCCTCCAGCTGCTCCTCCAGCGCCGCGCCCGCGCCCGGCTGCCGCTGCAGCAGCTCCTGGAAACGCTGGCACGGAGAGAGACGGGGAATTACGGCAGGGCTCACAGGGAAAAACAGCCCGAAAACAGCCCCAAAACAGCCCCAAAACAGCCCAAAACCAGACAGGGAATGCCAGCAGTGCTCCCAGGGAAAACAGCCCAAATCCAGCCCAAAACCAGCCCAAAACCAGCCCAGAAAGAGCCCAGAACAGCCCAAAACCAGACAGGGAATTCCAGCAGTGCTCCCAGGGAAAACAGCCCAAAAACAGACAGGGAATTCCGGCAGCATTCCCAGGGAAACCCGGGAAAACACACAAAAACCAAAAAAAATTAAAAAAAAAAAAAAATTCCCCAGGAAATAAGAAAGGAAAAATCACAGGAAAACCCCAAAATGTCACAGTGGTCTGGGGTGTCCTGGGATTTTCCCTGGCAATGCTGGGAGAGAGAATTCCCAACAGCATTCCCAGAGAAAGTTCAGAAAAACACCCAAAAGCCCCCTGAAACATAAAAAAAAAAAAAAAAAAAATCCCCAGAAAATAAAAAAAAAAAATTCCCCAACCCCCGGGGATTGAGGGATGGGGGTGAAGGGTTTTTCTGGGATTTCCCGGGGTTTTTGGGAAAAGGGGAAGCAGGGGCCGTACCTGGAACTCGGCCTCCTCCTGGCGCAGCATGTTGCGCAGGATCTGCGCCGCGTGCTTCTGCACCTCGGGGTCCTGCAGGGCCAGAGCGCGGGATAACGGGAATGGCAGCGGGAATAACGGGAATGGCAATGGGAATGGCAGCGGGAATGGCAATGGGAATAACGGGAATGACAGCGGGAATAACGGGAATGGCAATGGGAATGGCAGCGGGAATGGCAATGGGAATAACGGGAATGGCAGCGGGAATAACGGGAATGGCAATGGGAATGGCAGCGGGAATGGCAATGGGAATAATGGGAATGGCAGCGGGAATGACAGTGGGAATGGCAATGGGAATGGCAGCGGGAATAACGGGAATGACAGCGGGAATGACAGTGGGAATGGCAATGGGAATAACAATGGGAATAACGGGAATGACAATGGGAATGACAGCGGGAATAATGGGAATGACAATGGGCATAACAGGAATAACAACAGGAATGACAGCAGGAATGACAGTGGGAATGACGGGAATGACAAAGGGAATAACAGGAATGACAGCGGGGAATGACAATGGGAATGGTGGGAATAATGGGAATAATAAGGGGAATAATGGGAATGACAGTGGGAATGACAGTGGGAATGACAGTGGGAATAATGGGATAATAAGAATAATGGGAATAATGGGAATAACGGCATAGTGGGAATGGTGGGAATGGGGAAATGGGACAATGGGAATGGTGGGAACGATGGGATAATGGGAATAATGGCAGCGGGGAAACGGGAATGGTGGGATAATGGGAATAACGGGAGTAATGGGAATAACGGCAATGGGAATAATGGGAATAATGGGGATGACGGGAATGGAAACAAGAACGGGGATAATGGGAATAATGGGAATAATGGGTACCAAAGGGTTGGGATCCCCTCAGGGAATTCTGGGATCTCCCGGGTGAGTTTTGGGGTCACACGTGAGGGAGTCCCAGGCTCCCTCTGCAATCCCGGTCCGTCCCCGTGTTATCCCGGTGTCCCCCCAGTCGGTGCCTGTGTTATCCCAGTCCATCCCTGTGTTATCCCGCTCTGTCCCCGTGTTATCCCAGTCCATCCCTGTGTTATCCCGGTGTCCCGCTGTGTTATCCCGGTCCATCCCTGTGTTATCCCAGTGTCCACCCCGTGTTATCCTGGTGTCCCCCTGTGTTATCCCGGTGTCCCCCCGGTGTAATCCCGGTGTCCCCCGGTGTTATCCCGGTGTCCCCCAGTGTTATCCCAGTGTCCCCCCCGTGTTATCCTGGTGTCCCCCGGTGTTATCCCGGTGTCCCCCTGTGTTATCCCGGTCCGTCCCCGTGTTATCCCGGTGTCCCCCCGTGTTATCCCGGTGTCCCCCGGTGTTATCCCGGTGTCCCCCTGTGTTATCCCGGTCCGTCCCCGTGTTATCCCGGTGTCCCCCCGTGTTATCCCGGTGTCCCCCTGTGTTATCCCGGTCCGTCCCCGTGTTATCCCGGTGTCCCCCTGTGTTATCCCAGTGTCCCCCCCGTGTTATCCTGGTGTCCCCCTGTGTTATCCTGGTGTCCCCCCGGTGTAATCCCGGTGTCCCCCGGTGTTATCCCGGTGTCCCCCAGTGTTATCCCAGTGTCCCCCCCGTGTTATCCTGGTGTCCCCCGGTGTTATCCCGGTGTCCCCCTGTGTTATCCCGGTCCGTCCCCGTGTTATCCCGGTGTCCCCCTGTGTTATCCCAGTGTCCCCCCCGTGTTATCCTGGTGTCCCCCTGTGTTATCCTGGTGTCCCCCCGGTGTAATCCCGGTGTCCCCCGGTGTTATCCCGGTGTCCCCCAGTGTTATCCCGGTGTCCCCCCCGTGTTATCCCGGTGTCCCCCTGTGTTATCCCGGTCCGTCCCCGTGTTATCCCGGTGTCCCGCTGTGTTATCCCGGTGTCCCCCCGGTTGGTGCCTGTGTTATCCCAGTCCATCCCTGTGTTATCCCGGTGTCCCGCTGTGTTATCCCGGTGTCCCGCTGTGTTGTCCCGGTGTCCCCCCGGTCGGTGCCTGTGTTATCCCGGTGTCCCCCCCGTGTTATCCCGGTGTCCCCCCGGTCGGTGCCTGTGTTATCCCAGTCCATCCCTGTGTTATCCCGGTGTCCCCCGGTGTTATCCCGGTGTCCCGCTGTGTTATCCCGGTGTCCCCCGGTGTTATCCCGGTGTCCCGCTGTGTTGTCCCGGTGTCCCCCCGGTCGGTGCCTGTGTTATCCCAGTCCATCCCCGTGTTGTCCCGGTGTCCCCCCGGTCGGCGCCTCACCTGCAGGGGCCGCGGCTCCGTGATGCGCTGGGGGGGCCCCTGGGGACCCCCCGGGGGCTCGGGCTCGGGCTGGGACCCCGGGGCCGCCGCGGCTCCGGGCGGGGACCCCAGCAGGGTCAGCGCCACGTAGGCGCCGGCTGGGGACGGAACGGGACACGGGAATGTCGGGGGGAATGCGGGGAACGGCCGGGGTAGCGGGGAGAGGTGAGAGGGCAAAATCCACGGGGAAACTCCGGGGAAAGTCTGGGATAACGGGGAAATGTGAGAGGGCAAAATCCACAGGGGAAAATCCGGGGAAAGTCTGGGATAACGGGGAAATGTGAGAGGGCAAAATCCACAGGGGAAAATCCGGGGAAAGTCTGGGATAACGGGGAAATGTGAGCTGGGACTGAGGGGAAAATCCACAGGGAAAAAATTCCAGGGAAAGTCTGGGATGGAGGAAATGTGAGCTGGGACTGAGGGGAAAATCCACAGGGAAAAAATTCCAGGGAAAGTCTGGGATAACGGAAATGTGAGCTGGGATTGAGGGGAAAATCCACAGGGAAAAACTCCAGGGAAAGTCTGGGATAACGGGGAAATGTGAGAGGGGAAAATCCACAGGGGAAAATCCGGGGAAAGTCTGGGATGGAGGAAATGTGAGCTGGGATTGAGGGGAAAATCAACAGGGAAAAAATTCCGGGGAAAATCTGGGATAACGGGGAAATGTGAGCTGGGATTGAGGGGAAAATCCACAGGGAAAAAATTCCGGGGAAAATCTGGGATAACGGGGAAATGTGAGCTGGGATTGAGGGGAAAATCCACAGGGAAAAAATTCCGGGGAAATTCTGGGTCTGGAAACACTTCCAGAATTCCCGAAGGATGGAAAGCGTCCTCCCCCTGCCCCAGCTCCACGTTTTCCCGGGGAATGGGAACGGAATTGCCAGGAACTCACACTTGATCAACTTCACCACCTCCAGGTGGGAGCTGTTGGTCACCATCGTCCCGTTCACCTGCAACGGCCGCGAAAGGGCTGGGAAACGGGGATTTACCCAAAAATTCCCCAGGAATGTGGGAAAGGGCTGGGAAACGGGGATTTACCCAAAAATTCCCCAGGAATGTGGGAAAGGGCTGGGAAATGGGGATTTACCCAAAAATTCCCCAGGAATGTGGGAAAGGGCTGGGAAACGGGAATTTACCCAAAAATTCCCCAGGAATGTGGGAAAGGGCTGGGAAACGGGGATTTACCCAAAAATTCCCCAGGAATGTGGGAAAGGGCTGGGAAACGGGGATTTACCCAAAAATTCACCAGGAATGTGGGAAAAGGGGGCTGGGAAAACGGGAATTTACCCGGGAATTTGGGAAAAGGGGGCTGGGAAAATGGGAATTTGCCGGGAATTGGGAATTTCCCGGGGTCCAGGATCGCCCACCTTGAGGATGCGGTCGCCCTCCTGCACGCCGGCCCTCATGGCAGCCCCACCTGCGCACAGCAGGGTCAGGGCAGGCCCCAGAGCCATTCCGGAACCTTCCAGGGGGGCTCCCCCACCCCCCCAGCCCCCAGAACCCCCAAACTGGGACATTTCCCAAGGAAAACCCCGTTTGTCCCACGTTTTCCCCACAGTTCTCTCACGTTTTCCTGCCGTTTTTCTCTTCCCCATTTTCCCACCATGTTCCCCTCATTTTCCCACCATTTTCTCCCCCATTTGTCTTCATTTTCTCCCCCATTTTTTTCTCTGTTTTCTTCCCCATTTTTGTGCCATTTTTCTCCCCCATTTTTCCCTGTTTTCTCCCCCATTTTTCTCCTTTTTCCCCCCATTTTCTCCCCCAGGCTGAGGCTGGGGATGCATGAGGGGACCCCTGGGGATTGTCCAGCCTGTCCATCCCCGTGTCCATCCTGGTGTCCACCCCCGTGTCCATCAGTGTCCACCCCCATGCCCACCCCAGTGTCCAGCAGTGCCCACCCAGTGTCCATCAGTGCCCACCCCCATGCCCAGCCGTGCCCACCCCAGTGCCCACCCCAGTGCCCACCCCCGTGTCCATCAGTGTCCACCCCCATGCCCACCCCAGTGTCCAGCAGTGCCCACCCAGTGTCCATCAGTGCCCACCCCCATGCCCAGCCGTGCCCACCCCGTGCCCAGCCGTGCCCAGCCGTGTGCCCCCCGCACCCACCGGGCCGCACGGACTGCACGAGCACCACGCGGTCGCCGCTGACGGTGAAGCCGAAGCCATGCTGGTCCCGCTGGATGATCACACAGCGCTGCACCAGCCCTGCCACACCGAGGGACACGGACAGACACACGGACACGGGGACACGGACAGACACATGGACACGGGGACACGGACAGACACACGGACACGGGGACACGGACAGACACACAGACAGACACACGGACAGACACACGGACACGGGGACACGGACAGACACACGGACACGGGGACACGGACAGACACACGGACACACAGACACGGACAGACACACGGACACAGGGACACGGACAGACACACAGACACGGGGACACGGACAGACACACGGACAGACACACGGACAGACACACAGACACGGGGACACGGACAGACACACGGACACGGGGACACGGACAGACACACGGACACACAGACACGGACAGACACACGGACACGGGGACACGGACAGACACACGGACAGACACACGGACAGACACACGGACACAGGGACACGGACAGACACACAGACACGGGGACATGGACAGACACACGGACACAGGGACACGGACAGACACACAGACACGGGGACACGGACAGACACACGGACAGACACACGGACAGACACACAGACACACAGACACACGGACACAGGGACAGACACAGACACACAGACACAGGGACACAGGGACACAGACAGACACACGGACACAGGGACACAGGGACACGGACAGACACACAGACACACAGACAGGGACACGGACAGACACACGGACACAGGGACACGGACAGACACACGGACACGGGGACACGGACAGACACACGGACACAGGGACAGACACAGACACACAGACACAGGGACACGGACAGACACACGGACACACAGACAGGGACACGGACAGACACACGGACACGGGGACACGGACAGACACACAGACACGGGGACATGGACAGACACACGGACACAGGGACACGGACAGACACACAGACACGGGGACACGGACAGACACACGGACAGACACACGGACAGACACACGGACACGGGGACACGGACAGACACACGGACACAGGGACACGGACAGACACACGGACACAGGGACACACACAGACACACGGACACAGGGACAGACACAGACACACAGACACGGGGACACGGACAGACACACGGACACAGGGACACACACAGACACACGGACACAGGGACACGGACAGACACACGGACAGACACACGGACAGCAGCGAGAGGAGGCAGTGAGGCTCTGGGCGCCGGGTTTGCCTCTGAGGAACCCCCCCAGCTCCAGGGCCTGCAGGGCCTCGGGGTCACTGCCCACCCCGACCCTGTGGTCACTGCCCACCCCGACCCTGTGGTCACTGTCCAGCCCTGACCCTGTGGTCACTGCCCACCCCGACCCTGTGGTCACTGTCCTGTCCACCCCGACCCTGTGGTCACTGTCCAGCCCTGACCTCATGGTCACTGTCCAGCCCTGACCTCATGGTCACTGCCCACCCCGACCCTGTGGTCACTGTCCAGCCCTGACCTCATGGTCACTGTCCACCCCGACCCTGTGGTCACTGTCCACCCTGACCCTGTGGTCACTGTCCAGCCCTGACCCTGTGGTCACTGTCCAGCCCTGACCTCATGGTCACTGTCCACCCCGACCCTGTGGTCACTGTCCAGCCCTGACCCTGTGGTCACTGTCCACCCCGACCCTGTGGTCACTGTCCAGCCCTGACCTCATGGTCACTGTCCAGCCCTGACCCTGTGGTCACTGTCCAGCCCTGACCCTGTGGTCACTGTCCATCCTGACCCTGTGGTCACTGTCCAGCCCTGACCTCATGGTCACTGCCCACCCCGACCCTGTGGTCACTGTCCAGCCCTGACCCTGTGGTCACTGTCCTGTCCAGCCCTGACCTCATGGTCACTGTCCTGTCCAGCCCTGACCTCATGGTCACTGTCCAGCCCTGACCCTGTGGTCACTGTCCAGCCCTGACCTCATGGTCACTGTCCTGTCCAGCCCTGACCTCATGGTCACTGTCCTGTCCAGCCCTGACCTCATGGTCACTGTCCACCCCGACCCTGTGGTCACTGTCCAGCCCTGACCTCATGGTCACTGTCCTGTCCAGCCCTGACCTCATGGTCACTGCCCACCCCGACCCTGTGGTCACTGTCCAGCCCTGACCCTGTGGTCACTGTCCACCCTGACCGTCAGGTCCTGTGTCCACCCTGACCCTGTGGTCACTGTCCACCCCGACCCTGTGGTCACTGTCCACCCTGACCGTCAGGTCCTGTGTCCACCCTGACCCTGTGGTCACTGTCCAGCCCTGACCTCATGGTCACTGTCCAGCCCTGACCCTGTGGTCACTGTCCAGCCCTGACCTCATGGTCACTGCCCACCCTGACCCTGTGGTCACTGTCCACCCTGACCTCATGGTCACTGTCCAGCCCTGACCCTGTGGTCACTGTCCAGCCCTGACCTCATGGTCACTGTCCAGCCCTGACCCTGTGGTCACTGTCCAGCCCTGACCTCATGGTCACTGTCCTGTCCAGCCCTGACCTCATGGTCACTGTCCAGCCCTGACCCTGTGGTCACTGTCCAGCCCTGACCTCATGGTCACTGTCCTGTCCAGCCCTGACCCTGTGGTCACTGTCCAGCCTGACCGTCAGGTCCTGTGTCCACCCTGACCCTGTGGTCACTGTCCAGCCCTGACCCCACAGAGTGCCCACTGAGTGGCCGCTGAGTGCCCACAGAGTGCCCACTGAGTGACCGCTGAGTGCCCACTGAGTGACCACAGACTGACCACTGAGTGCCCACTGAGTGCCCACTGAGTGACCACAGAGTGACCGCTGAGTGCCCACAGAGTGCCCACTGAGTGACCGCTGAGTGCCCACTGAGTGACCACAGAGTGACCGCTGCGTGACCACTGAGTGACCACAGAGTGCCCACAGAATGCCCACAGAGTGACCACAGAGTGCCCACAGAGTGACCACTGAGTGACCACTGAGTGACCGCTGAGTGCCCACTGAGTGACCACAGAGTGACCGCTGCGTGACCACTGAGTGCCCACTGAGTGACTGCTGAGTGACCACAGAGTGCCCACAGAGTGACCACTGAGTGCCCACTGAGTGACCGCTGAGTGACCACAGAGTGCCCACAGAGTGCCCAGAGTGACCACAGCGTGACCGCTGCGTGACCACTGAGTGCCCACTGAGTGACCGCTGAGTGCCCACTGAGTGACCGCTGAGTGCCCACAGAGTGCCCACAGAGTGCCCACTGAGTGCCTGAATTCCCGTAGTTCCCAGAATTCCCGTAATTAATTCCCGTAATTCCCGTAATTAACTCCCGTAATTAACTCCCGTAATTAACTCCCGCAACCCGGGCCGGTTCCCACCTGTGCTGTCGCCGCTGTCCGGGGGCGGCCGCGGGTGCCCGGGCGCCCTTCGCTCCGCGGGGGCCTCGCCCAGGGACGAGGAGAGGCTGCTCAACCTGGGGGACACGGGAACGGCCGGAGTGACCGCCGGGCAGCGCCGGACAGACGGACACGGGGACGGGAACGGCCGGAGTGACCGCCGGGCAGCGCCGGACAGACGGACACGGGGACGGGAACGGCCGGAGTGACCGCCGGGCAGCGCCGGACAGACGGACACGGGGACGGGAACGGCCGGAGTGACCGCCGGGCAGCGCCGGACAGACGGACACGGGGACGGGAACGGCCGGAGTGACCGCTGGGCAGCGCCGGACAGACGGACACGGGGATGGGAACGGCCGGAGTGACCGCCGGGCAGCGCCGGACAGACGGACACGGGGACGGGAACGGCCGGAGTGACCGCCGGGCAGCGCCGGACAGACGGACACGGGGACGGGAACGGCCGGAGTGACCGCTGGGCAGCGCCGGACAGACGGACACGGGGATGGGAACGGCCGGAGTGACCGCCGGGCAGCGCCGGACAGACGGACACGGGGATGGGAACGGCCGGAGTGACCGCTGGGCAGCGCCAGGACACACAGAGTGACCGCTGGGCAGCGCCGGACAGACGGACACGGGGATGGGAACGGCCGGAGTGACCGCCGGGCAGCGCCGGACAGACGGACACGGGGATGGGAACGGCCGGAGTGACCGCCGGGCAGCGCCGGACAGACGGACACGGGGATGGGAACGGCCGGAGTGACCGCCGGGCAGCGCCGGACAGACGGACACGGGGATGGGAACGGCCGGAGTGACCGCTGGGCAGCGCCGGACAGACGGACACGGGGACGGGAACGGCCGGAGTGACCGCTGGGCAGCGCCGGACAGACGGACACGGGGACGGGAACGGCCGGAGTGACCGCTGGGCAGCGCCGGACAGACGGACACGGGGATGGGAACGGCCGGAGTGACCGCTGGGCAGCGCCGGACAGACGGACACGGGGATGGGAACGGCCGGAGTGACCGCTGGGCAGCGCCAGGACACACAGAGTGACCGCTGGGCAGCGCCAGGACAGACGGACACGGGGATGGGAACGGCCGGAGTGACCGCCGGGCAGCGCCGGACAGACGGACACGGGGATGGGAACGGCCGGAGTGACCGCCGGGCAGCGCCGGACAGATGGACACGGGGACGGGAACGGCCGGAGTGACCGCCGGGCAGCGCCGGACAGACGGACACGGGGATGGGAACGGCCGGAGTGACCGCTGGGCAGCGCCAGGACACACAGAGTGACCGCTGGGCAGCGCCGGACAGACGGACACGGGGATGGGAACGGCCGGAGTGACCGCTGGGCAGCGCCGGACAGACGGACACGGGGATGGGAACGGCCGGAGTGACCGCTGGGCAGCGCCGGACAGACGGACACGGGGATGGGAACGGCCGGAGTGACCGCTGGGCAGCGCCGGACAGACGGACACGGGGATGGGAACGGCCGGAGTGACCGCTGGGCAGCGCCAGGACACACAGAGTGACCGCTGGGCAGCGCCAGGACAGACGGACACGGGGATGGGAACGGCCGGAGTGACCGCTGGGCAGCGCCAGGACAGACGGACACGGGGATGGGAACGGCCGGAGTGACCGCTGGGCAGCGCCAGGACAGACAGAGTGACCGCTGGGCAGCGCCAGGACAGACGGACACCAACCCTGGGCACTGCCAGGACAGCCGGACATGGCCCAGGACAGATGGACATGACCCTGGGCACTGCCAGGACAGCCGGACATGGCCCAGGACAGATGGACATGACCCTGGGCACTGCCAGGACAGCCGGGACTTAACCGGGCTATAAAAAACTCGTTTAATTCGGCTTAATTAAAGCTCCTTAATTGCCTCGGGGGCGGCCCGGCCACGGCCATTCCCGCAATGATTCCCGCTGTAAAAATTCCCAAAATTCCCACAATAAAAATTCCCAAAATTCCCGCAATAATTCCCACAATAATTCCCAAAATTCCCACAATGATTCCCACAGTAAAAATTCCCAAAATTCCCACAATAAAAAATCCCAAAATTCCAGGGGCGCCTCCGGAGGGACCCCAGCCCTGCCCGCCCTTCCCGCCTCCCAAAAATCCAAAATTCCCGAAAAACTGGAGCTTGGAATGGGAAAAATGCCTATTTCTCAACATTTCTGCACATTGGGTTCCTTCCCAGCTCAGAAAAATCCAAAATTCCCCAAAACTGGAGATCGGAATGGGAAAAATTCCCATTTCCCAACATTTCTGCCCACTGGGTTCCTTCCCACAGCAGGTTTGGAATTCCCAGCTGGAAAATCCCATGGAAACCCAGGATAAACCACGTTTAAAATAGGAAACATGGGAAAAAAAATTCCCTTTTCCCAACATTTCTGCCCATTGGAATCCTTCCCACAATGGGGACTGGAATTCCCAGCTGGAAAATCCACCAAAATCTGGGATAAACCACATTTAAAGCAGGAAAAAATGGGAAAAAATTCCCTTTTCCCGACATTTCTGGCCAGTGGGTTCCTTCCCACAACGGAATTGGAATTGCCAGCTGGAAAATCCTATGGAAACCCAGGATAAACCACGTTTAAAATAGGAAAAATGGGGGAAAAAATTCCCTTTTCCCAACATTTCTGACGCCTGGGTTCCTTCCCACGCTGGAATCGGAATTCCCAGCTGGAAAATCCACCAAAATCTGGGATAAACCGCATTTAAAGCAGGAAAAATTTGGAAAAAATTCCCCATTTCCCAACGTTTCTGACGCCTGGGTTCCCTCCCACGCTGGAATCGGGATTCCCAGCTGGAGAACCCCGCAGGACCCCGGGACAGCGCGGGGTTCCGAGCTGCAGAAACGGGGTAAAATCCCGATTTTCTGCGTTCTCCCCGGGCAGGGCAGCGCAGCCGCAGCCCCCGGGCTTGGCAGCGGGGGAAGAACCCAATGTTGCAAACCCGGGAGAGAAAATTCCGGAATTCCTCCCGGGGCTCGGCGCCCGCCCTCGCAGTGCGGGGAGGGGAAAAAATATATATATATATAAAAATAAAAATAAAAAAAATTTCCCTGGGAGTTCTGGGGAATCTGGGAATCGAAATGAGGGAATTCCCACGTTCCCGCTCCCCGAGTCGAGTTTGGGAATTTGGGGGGTTTTTTCCCATGAAAATCCGGGGGGGTTTTGGGAATTCTGGCTCCTTTTAGGATTCCAAAATTCCCCAAAAAACTGGGAATGGCCGGGAGGGGTTGGGAACAGCTTGGAAAGGATTGGGATGCAGGGAAAATCCGGGAATTGCGGGATTATCCCAATAAAAACACTTGGGAACTTTATGGGGAGAACCCCCCATGTCCCCCCAGCTGCCCCTGGAATTCTGGTTCTCCTTGGAAAACCTTTAGGAGGGAAGTGAGTGGTCAGAAATGCTGGGAAAAGGGAATTTTTTCCCATTTTTCCTTTTTCAAACACGGTTTATCCCAGGTTTCCGTGGGGTTTCCCAGCTGGGAATTCCAATTCCGTTGTGGGAAGGATCTCAGGGGTCAGAAATGCTGGGAAAAGGGATTTTTTCTCGTTTTTCCTATTTTAAACGTGGTTTATCCATGGGATTTTCCAGCTGGGAATCCCAACTCCAGCATGGGAAGGGCAGAAATGTCGGGAAAAGGGAATTTTTTCCCATTTTTCCTATTTTAAACGTGGTTTATTCCAGGGTTTCCATGGGATTTTCCAGCTGGCAATTCCAATCCTGCTGTGGGAAGGGCAGAAATGTCGGGAAAAGGGAATTTTTCCCCGTTTTTCCTTTTCTAAACGTGGTTTATCCCGGGTTTCCACGGCATTTTCCATGGAACCCCAAACCCTTTTTTTGGGAAGGGATCCCAATGTGACCACACCGCCCCTGGAGCGATCCCAAACGCTGGAAATCGGGGATTTTCCCCATTTTTCCTATTTTAAACATGGTTTATCCCGGGTTTCCAAGGGGTTTTCCAGCTGGGAACCCCAAACCCTTTTTTGGGAAGGGATCCCGGCCGCTGGGAATGGGGGATTTTTCCCCCGTTTTGTTCTGTTTTTCCGGGAATTCCGCACGGGAATCGCGCAGGAAGCCGCTCCTGGCCGGGTAATGATTAACGGGAGCCGCTCCTGGAAAAGCGGGAAAAGCAGCAGGGCCGGTTCCACCGGGAATTCCCAATCCTAAAATTCCCTGCCCCGGGGGAACACACAGGATTTACCCACGGAATCCCAAATAAAACAGCGCAAAAATCCTGGAATTCTTTGGGATGGGAAAAGATCCTTAAATCCCAGAAAATCCCACCCTGATTCCGATCCCAGGGATGGAAATCCACGGGATAAAATCCGGGATTTACCCCTGAAATCCCAAATAATCCAGCCCATAAATCCTGGAATTCTTTGGGATGGAAAAAGCAGGAAAAAACCCCCGGAATCTGGTGGGAAAATGATCCCAGAAATTCCTGGGACCTGCTTCTCTCCCCGGGCCCCAAACTCCGCGTTTTCCACCCAAATCCGTGTGTGGGAAATGCCGTGGCTGCGGCAGGGATCCCGACCCAGGAATCCTCAGCAAAATTCCTGAGTCTGTCCCAGAAAAAACCTTCCAGGGTTTTCCGAGGGTTTATCCCACAAAAAAATCCCAAATTTGGTTTAAAACGGAGCAAAACAAACGGGGAAAAATCCAATTCCCAGTGACGGAGATGGAAATACCCCAGAAACCAGAAAGGTTTGGGATATTCCCCCCCCCACTCCCCAAAACCCGGAATTTTATCCCAAAACGCTGCAAGGATGGGGTGGGGGGCCCAGGGCTGGGCTGAGCCCCCCAGAAATCCCAAAATCCCGGAATTTCATCCCAAATTCCCATCTTTCCCCCCAAGGAATGGGGTGAGGGCTCCAGGACGAGCTGAGCCCCCTCCCAGACCCCCCAAACCCCCCAAATCCCGGAGTTTCACCCCAAAATCCCTGAATTTCACCCCAAAGCACCGCAGGGACGGGGCAGGAGCTCCACCCTGATCCAAATCCCTTCCCCTGAACCCCCAGAGCCCCAAAATCTCAGATTTTCACCCCAAATCGCTGCTTTTCCCCCGAGACGTGGGGCGGGAGGTGCAGACCGCGCTGAGCCCCCTCCCAGAGCCCCAAAATCCCCGAATTTCACCCCAAAACACCCTAAATCCCAGCGTTTCACCCCAAACACGCCAAAATCTCAGCGTTTAACCTCAAATCTCAGCGTTTCACCCCAAAACACCCCAAATCTCAGCATTTCACCCCAAATCCCGGCTTTTCACCCCAAACCCCTGCAGGGGCGGGGTGGGGGCTCCAGGACGAGCTGAGCCCCCTCCTAGAGCCCCAAAATCCCCGATTTTCACCCCAAATCGCCGCTCTTCCCTCGAGACACGGGGTGAGGGCTCCGGGACGAGCTGAGCCCCCTCCTAGAGCCCCAAAATCCCCGATTTTCACCCCAAATCCCGGCATTTCACCCCAAACACCACAAATCCCGGCATTTCACCCCAAATCCCGGCATTTCACCCCAAACACCACAAATCCCGGCATTTCACCCCAAATCCCGGCATTTCACCCCAAACACCACAAATCCCGGCATTTCACCCCAAATCCCGGCATTTTCCCCCAAATCACCCTAAATCCCGGCATTTCACCCCAAATCCCGGCATTTCACCCCCAAACCCCTGCAGGGACCGGCTGTGGGCTCCAGCACGAGCCGAGCCCCCTCCCGCGATCCCCAAAACCCCCGAATTTCACCCCAAAACCCCCGAATTTCCCCCCAAACCGCCGCTCTCCCCCCTCGGTCCAGCCGAGCCCCCTCCCCGCTCCCCGCAGCCCCAAACCCGCCCGATTTCGCCCCAAACCCGCGTCCCCCCCCTCCCCGAAGGCGGCGGGCTGTCCCCCTCAGGCCGATCCCCGTCCCCTTTTCCCCGCTTTTCCCCCGTTTCCCCGCGGCCCGGGGTCGCCCCTCAGCCCGTACCTGTCCGGGGCCTGCGGAGGCCTCACGCTCATGGTGGAGCTCGGTCAGGGCAGCGCCCGGAGCCGCCGCCCCGCTCCGGCCGGCCCCGCCACCATGCCCGGCCGCGGCGGCTGCGGCGGCGGCCTCGGGGGGCCCCGAGCGAGCCCCGCGGGGCCCCGAGCGAAGCCCCCGGGCTGCGGTTCGGCGCCGGCCCGGCCGAGCGGGGCTCCCCCTGCCGCCCTGCCCTGCCCGCCGCGGGGGCCGGGCCGAGGGAGAGGCCTGGAGGCCGCTCCCAATCCCCGGGCTCGCCCGGCCCCCCGCGCCCGGCACGGCGGGGCAGCGCCCGCGGCTGCGGGGCGGCGGGGAGCGGGCGGGGACGGAGCGGGGGACGGAGCGGGGAGACACGGGGGAGCGGGGGAGGGAGCGGGGGGACACGGGGACAGTGAGGGGGACACGGGACAGTGCGGGGGACACGGGGACAGTGAGGGGGACACGGGACAGTGAGGGGAACACGGGACAGTGAGGGGGACACGGGGACAGTGAGGGGAACACGGGACAGTGCGGGGGAACACGGGGACAGTGAGGGGGACACGGGGACAGTGAGGGGGACACGGGACAGTGCGGGGGACACGGGGACAGTGAGGGGGACACGGGGACAGTGAGGGGAACACGGGACAGTGAGGGGGACACGGGACAGTGAGGGGAACACGGGACAGTGAGGGGGACACGGGGACAGTGAGGGGGACACGGGACAGTGAGGGGGACACGGGGACAGTGCGGGGGACACGGGACAGTGAGGGGGACACGGGGACAGTGCGGGGGACACGGTGACCTCGGGGTGCGGGAGATAGAGGGGACAATGTGGGGAACACGGTGACCTCGGCGTGTGGGGGAGAGAGGGACAGCGTGGATGTGAGGGTGCGGGACACACGGCGACCTCGGGGTGCGGGGGACGCGGGACAGTGAGGGGGACACGGTGACCTCGGGGCGTGAGGGACGGAGAGTGACCTCGGGGTGTGGGAGGTAATGGGGACAGTGAAGGGGACACAGTGACCTCGGGGTGTGAGGGACACGGGACAGTGAGGATTTGAGGGGACACTGAGTGACCTCGGGGTGCGGGGCACACAGGGACAGCGTGGATGTGGGCGTGTGGGGGACACCCGTGGGGACAGTGAGGGAGGGGGACACTGAGTGACCTCGGGGTGCGGGGGACACAGGGGACAGTGTGGATCTGGGGACAGTGAGGGTTTGGGGACACCCATGGGGACACTAAAGGTTTGGGGACAGTGAGGGTTTGGGGACACAGGGGACAGTGAGGATCTGGGGACAGTGAGGGTTTGGGGACACCCATGGGGACAGTGAGGATCTGGGGACAGCAAGGATTTTGGGGACAGTGAGGATTTGGGGACACCCAAAAACCCCCAAACCCCACAGCCAGAACCCCCAATCGGGATTTTTGTGATCCAGGGAACCCCTGAGCTCCCCAAAGTTTCGGCTCCCAAACTGCAAAAACCCTCAGGAAAACCCCAAAATCCAAAAACCCTCAGGAAAACCCCAAAATCCAAAAACCCTCAGGAAAGCCCCAAAAGCCCCAAACTCCAAAAACCCTCAGAAAAACCCCAAAATCCAAAAACCCTCAGGAAAACCCCAAAAGCCCCAAACTCCAAAAACCCTCAGGAAAACCCCAAAATCCAAAAACCCTCAGGAAAACCTCAAAATCCAAAAACCCTCAGGAAAGCCCCAAAAGCCCCAACCAAACTCCAAAAAGCCTCAGAAAAGCCCCAAAAGCCCCAAACTCCAAAAACCCTCAGAAAAGCCCCAAAAGCCCCAAAGAACCCAGCGAGCCCTCTCTGTTAAAAGGTTTTTATTTAACGTTTTGAATTCGAGGTAAAATACTTTTATTTTTCAGGTTTTTTTTTTTTTTCCTTTTTTCCGTTTTTTTTTTTTTCAACTTCCATAACAAAATACGGAGCTATGGGATACCCCTGGAAAAAAATATGTATATTATCCATAAATTTCTCTAGCACTCCATCATATATATATATAATATATATATGCAACCCTTTTTTTTAAATCTGATTTTTATAGAAATCGGAATTTTTTTTAAAGGCACAAATTTCGGATTTTTTGTCTTTTTTTTTTTTTTGTTTTTTTGCCCCTCTACTTTACACCCTATGTACAAAGCCACGCTCCCCATCCCAAATTCCATCAATTTTCCCGATGGATTCCTGCCGGATTCCCACCGGGGAGAGCTCAAATCCCTCGAAATCCCTCGAAAAAGGGGTTTTTGGAACCCAAAGAAAAGCGTAAATACCGGTTTAAAAAGCGCTAAAAAAAACCAAAAAAAAAAAATCAAAGTTTTTCCCCGGAAAATCCAAAGTTTTTCCGGGTTTTTGATGATTTCAACCGAGAGAAAATTCCTGGTTTTTTTTTCAATCCCACCAGGACGCGGAGACGCGAAAAAAAGGAAAGAAACCAACGGAAAAAAACAGCTTAAAATAATACAAAACCTCAACATAATTATGGAATAAATAAAAAAATCCGGGACAACCCCATTAATGCTGTTGGATTTTTCCTCCTGTTCCTCCTTTTTGGGAAATTCCTCCCCACAGAAATTCCCCCTTTTTGGGGCTGTCCCATCGAAAAGTCTCTTATTTTTTTTTTGTTTTTTGTCCTTTTTTTTACATTTTTCCTACGGATTTGCTACGAAAAAGAAGCGAAATTACCAACAAAAACAAAAACGGGATCATGCTCCGGGGCAAATTCATCCAGGAGAGAATTCCAACCATTCCCAACTTCCCGAGGGTTTGTTTTCTATTAAATGGTTTGGCACGATGGAATTTGAGCAATTTTTCCTCGAAACTTCTGATTTTTTTTTTCTCCATAAAATTTGGATCTGGTTGATTTTTATTTTTTCCTTTAAATCTTTTTTTTTTTTAAACACGTTTTCCTTCTCCTCTTCCTGCTTTTTTGTTTTGTTTTGTTTTGTTTTTCCTTCCTCTTCCTGCTTTTATTTTTATTTTTCTTCCTGCTCCCGGGCTCCGTTGGGAATTCTGGAATCCCCGAGAGGCGCCGGATCCGCCGTCCTGAGTCCGGAATTCCCTGAACTCTCCCAAGTTATTTTTATTTTATTTTCTTTTTTTTTTTTCCTTATTTTTGTTTCTATTTTTTTTTTTGCAGTGCAATGGCTGTGGAAAAACAAAAAAAACCCCAACGTTCCCACCCTTCCCAAAAAAACCCCCAATCCCAAAAAATCCTTTTTTTTTTTGTCTTTAAAGCCACAACAATTCCAACTTTCCTCCTTCTCCTCCCTGGGATTTCGCCTCGAACCCGAAGGATCGGAAGAGGGCGGGGGGAAACGAAAACACGAAAATTCCGGCGTTTTCCCCCCGTTTTTGTGTTTCTGCTTTTTCCCGACGGTTCCGGCACTTGGATTTGGGATCGGGGCGGGGATTCCGGGAAAGGCCTCCTGTGTGATTCCTGAGTTCCTCCTCGCGCCCTCTCCGGGGTCGTTTCTTTGTGTTATTTTGGGGTTTTTTTGGGATAATCCGGGGGTTTTCCACCCCAAAAACCCTTTGAGCTCCACATTCCGAGGCTCCCGCACCCGGCCGGGTCGGGATTTTGGGAATTCTGCTCCCTCCGGCAGGGAATTCCCAGAGCGAATCCTTGGGAACTCCGGGCTCACAACCCGGAGGCAGAACGGCGAGATTCGGGATTTTAGGGATTTCACCCCAAAACCCGGCAGCGTCCGCCAAACCCGAGCGCTCCCGCATCCAGAAATTCCCACAAAAAGTCCAAACGCGGTTTTGCTCCGTTTTCTTTTTTTTGTGTGGTTTTTTTTTTCTTCTTTAAGGCATGAGTCAAACGGGGAGAAAAGGGTCCAAAAAAACCTGGGGGACGGCGCCGGAATTCCGGCGTTCCCGGGACTCACCACAATCATTCCAGCGCTCCTTCCAAGCATTCCCAAAAAATTCCACCCACACGGATCCCGCAGCGGGGAAAACAACAAAAACCTCCCGCTCCGGGCACACGAAAACCAAAGGGAGGGGAAAAAAAAAACCAAACCCCAACATTTTTAATGCGTTAGGATTAAAGGCATCCGGTTAATTCTGTGTTATTCCCGTTCCCTGAAAAGTTTGGAGAGTTTTGCTCATGGCTTCTGCGAGAGAGAGAGAGAGAGAGAGAAAGGCGGGAAAAGGGGAATTTTCCCCGGAAATCCGCCGGGAACGACGCGGCCTCCATCCCGATTTTCCGAGTTTTCCTGATTCCTCTTCCCCCCGCCCCAAACCCCGCTCCGTGGACAGTGCAAAATTCCCGATGCAAAATTCCCAAGCTCCTCCTTTTCCCAAAAAACACGAAAAAAAAAAAAAAACCCCAAAAAAATGAACCAAACCAGCTCCTGGATGGCCGGGGGAAACCTCGCATCCGTTAAAAAAAAAAAAAAAATTCCCAAAAAATCCAAAAGCCAACGCCCCCTGGATGTGGAGATTCCCAAAAAGCCGCGAGCCTGGAACCCCTCCGTGCCAGTCCTGGAGCCCGAGCCGGCTTTTCCCGGGAAAAGCGAGCGGGAATCGCGGCAATTCGGCTGCTGCGTCTTCACCTGCAAGTCAACAACAGAAACAACACAAAGGCCGAAGCTGCCCGCCCCCCCTCCCTGCTCCCACCCCCGAAAACCCCCCGAGACCCCGGCCCTGCCCCGCCTCCGCGCCCCCCTCCCCGCCCTTATCCCGAACTGCTCTGCAACCTTGCTACATAAATACACGGATTTCTCCTCCGGGCGTTTGTTTGCCAAGGTTTTGTTGTTGTTGTTGTTGGTTTTTTTTGTCGTTCCAGCCGGGGATTAGGTGTCGGAGGCGGCGGCCACGGCTTTGGGCAGGTGCCAGACCCCGTTGGGCCGCGGCTCCCTCGGGCATTTCCTGCCGGGAATCTCCGTTCCAGCGCCGCTTCAGCCGCAGCTTGGGGGGCATCAGGGCGTCCTCCCGCCTCTCCTGCCCGGCCGCGGCGTCCCCGGGGCAATCCCGGCCTTGTTTCTCCGCGTTCTCCTCTCCGGATGAGCCGGGCTGAGGCGGGACGGGCACCCACGCCGGAGCGGCCGGGCGGGCGAACACCGCGGCCTTCTCCTCCTCCTCCTCCTCCTGCTGCTGCTGCTCTTCCTCCCGCTTCTCCGGCTTCTCCTCCTCCCGCTCCTCCTCCCTGTCGGGCTCCACCTTGACGCGGGGCGGCTCGGCACTGCCGCCGCTGCTGCCGCCGTTGGTGCCGCCCTCAGGGCTCTCCAGCCGCTCGCGGTTCTTGCGGCCGGCGGGCGGCGGCTGCAGCTTGATGGGGAACTGCGGCTGCTCCTCCAGCGGCACCGGGCACTGCAGCGGCGGCACCACCAGCGGGTAGCGGGGGAAAGTCCGCGGGCTCAGGTGGTAGTTGAACACGGAGCAGGCCTGCGAGTGCAGGTAGTGCTTCATCTCCTCGGGGTTGAAGGAGAAGCAGCTGCTGCCGGCGGCGGCGAACGGGCTGAGCCCCGGCGAAGGGCTGTACGAGAAGAGCGTGGGCGTCAGCGACAGCGCCGGCGAGATGGGCACGTTGAGCACGCCGGGGCGGCCCGGCAGCGGCGACACGGCGAAGGGGCTGTGCGGGTGCTCGGGGAACACGCCGGGCCGCGAGAACAGCGGCAGCACCACCTCGGGCTTGCGCTTGGGCCCCGGCCGCGGCCGCGGCGGCGTGCGGCGGCGCCAGCAGCTCCCGGCGCCAGTCCGGGGCGCTCTCCTCCAGCTCGGCCGGCTCCGCCTTGCGCTCGGGGTCCGGCAGCGCCGCCTCGGCGTGCGGCGGCAGCAGCGAGGCCGCGGCGAAGCGGCCCGGGCCCTCCTCGGTGGGAGAGTGCGGCTCCAGAGGGGGGAAATGGAAACCGGGAGGAGGCCGTGGGCACGGGCGGGGGCGCTCTGCGGAACCACGCCTGCAAAATGGGGGGGAAAAGGGGAAAAATGTGAGTTAGGGGAGTGAGGGGGTGGGGGATGAGGGGGCTGGAGTCTGCGGGGATGGGTTGGGAACGTGTGGGAGTATTGGAAATGTCCGCCTGAGGGAGGGTGGCATCAGTCCGTGGAAATGTCTGAAATATCCACGGAAATGTCTGAAATACCCATGGAAATATCTTAAATATCCATGGAAACATCTCATCTGAGAGGGGATCTCATCAATCCGTGGAAATGTCTGAAATACCCATGGAAATCTCTTCTCTGAGGGGGGATCTCATCAATCCATGGAAATGTCTGAGATATCCATGGAAGTGTCTGAGATATCCATGGAAGTGTCTGAGATACCCATGGAAAAAACTCAAATATCTGTGGAAATATCTCATCTGAGCAGGGATCTCATCCATGCATGGAAATGTCTGAAATGCCTGAAATATCCATGGAAATATCTCAAATATCCATGGAAATATCTCATCTGAGAAGAGATCTCGTCAGTCCATGGAAATGTCTGAAATATCCATGGAAATGTCTCATCTGAGAGGGGATCTCAACAATCCATGGAAATGTCTTCCAGTATCCATAAAAATATCTCAAAAATCCATGGAAATATCTTCAATGTCCATGGAAACCTCTTCTCTGAGGGGGAATTCCATCAATCCATGCAAATGTTTCGAATACCCATGGAAATATGTCCAATATCAACGAAAATATCCCCGATATCCATAAAAACCTCTCCTCTGAGGGATGATCTCATCAACCCATGGAAGCATCTCAAAGATCCACAAAAATCCCTCAAATTCCCACAGAAACCCCCTCAAATTCCACCCAAATCCCACGAATTCCCACCCAAACCCCTCAAATTCCCACCTCCTTTTCCCACCACAAATCTCCGTGAGGGAGGGGGACGATCCTGGAGAAAACCCCCAAATTCCAGCTTTGCCCTCCCAGTCCCCGCCCCGCTGGGAATGAAAAGGCCGGGATTAACCCAGAGCGTTCCAAATTCTCCCAAATTCTTTTTTTTCCAAGCGCCCCAGGGACAGGAGGGAGCTGGGAACTGCCCGGACTCGTTTGCTCCCAGTTAATTACGGAATTACAGCTCCAGACACATCTTCCCACCCCCGTGCCTTGGCTTGGAAAAGACATTCCCCTCCTCTAAAAAAAAAAAAAGAAAATAAAACAAACCCCAGCAGGGCCCACACAGGTGAAGGAGACACCAACACCTGGAGGAATTTTTCCCTTTTTTTTTTTTTTTGGCCTTCCCGGAGCCTTGCAAAAACAAAACCTTGGAGCTTCCCTCGGGGAGGGGAGGCGGCCCCAGAGACGGCGCCGGACGGAGGCTCCAGCCTGGAAAAATCTCTTTTTTCCCCACACACAACCTGCTTTGATCCCTATTTTCCCTGCTTTTTCCCTGCTGGATTGGCGTTCCAGGCTCTACCCTGGAAGCTGGATCAGATCTTCCAAATCGGGACTTGTTTGTGGAGAAAAATTTGCAACTTTTGGGAACAACGGCTTGCAGACAGTTTTTTTATCTTTATGGATTCAATAATCACTGATTTCCCCACTTTTCCTGCTCTTTTTCCTGCTGGATTGGTGCTCCAAGCTCTCTCCCCTGGAGCAGCTTACGCTAGG